GTTTTTTTTTTTTTTTGTTTTTTTTTTTTTTAAGTGCAACCAGATTTGCAGTTGAGACCTGTGGGACACTGAATTACTGTGATAGCACACATTGAGTTAACAAAAACCCAGAGCAGTAAGTACTGTTGCATTAAAAAAAATTCACATTTGTTTTTTATGGTACATTTCCTCAAATACTTTGAGCCGACCTCTATTTGCTAGGGGCCTCTGATGTGGCTGAGGCACCATCCAGCCTTGAACCCTCTTATCTGTCATCAAGATGCTATGGAATTTATTATGTCCATACTTGGAGATGAGAACCCTCCAAAACTGGGTTTCACCTTGTAAGCAAAACTCGAACTTAATCGATTGGAATGAAAATTAGCTATTTTCCATATTCTGATGGTGTGGAAGTTGCAATGGATGTAGGAGCAACAGGTGCTCCTACATCTGCATTTTCTCCATCCCTGCAGGGTGCACAAAGCTCCCGTTCTATTTGCATATAAAATGCTTCATGGTTTGTCTCAGAGAGAGACCGGCAATAGTCTCAGTGCTCTTACATCCTGGGGCTGGAGGGGAAAGCCAGCAACCAAGAAGCAACTGAAGCCCTCATATAAAAACTTTAAACCATAGCTTAAAAACAATAAAATTTTATCCCGTAAGGGACATATAGGGATCATAGTCTTACAAAATATATTTTACTGCATTGGCAGCTATTACTTTTTTAAAAAGTTTAAATTCACACCTTTTAGACTCAAGATACATGTGAACCCAGAACCATTTTCAATAACCTAGTCTACTAATCTCTCAGTATGAGAGACTTGACCACAGTATCTGCGAGCCTGACAACTGAACTCCAACTGTAGCGAGACAGACAAATCATCAGGAACACACATCTTCTTTTAATGTGGTGTAAGAACAGCAACAAGCAGTTCTGATGGGGAACTTCATTTGCTAAATGTGTAGGCATCCCCCATGGATCTCCAGGGGAGTTGTGCTATGTGTCTGCACCAAAAAACAAAACAAACCCTTACAACTTGGCCAAACCTCCTGCACAGCTAAAACACCACTTCTTTTTCTTCCGCTCTCTGTGGGGAAATAGAAAACTGCTGATTTTTTTCCCCCCTCTCCCAAAACACCGTGTTAAATCAGGAAAAAAACATATCCCTTCCTTTCCTATTGTTCCCATCAGACGTACTGACACACAATATGCAAGGAGTAAAGACCCTGCACAGACTCTGAGAATCGGGGTCCCCGGCATACAGCAGAACCTTGCTAGTTCTGTGGTAGTGAAGGCACTCTGCTTGCAACATAGATGGGTGAGGAAAGGATTTTCCACTGAGTGCAAAGATTGGTGCCACATGGGAGAAGGACATGCAAAAGCAAGACATAAATCACTTTGTGAATGAATCTGGAGACTAATCATCGACAAAGGAACTGCTGCAATGGGTCATACGTGTAAGCCAGTTGGAAGAAATTCTAAACAATTTGTAAAGGCCACAAAGATGATGAAGGGACTAGAGCATCTGCCATACAGGCTGAGAGTCATCAGACTGTTTTGCTTGGAGAAGGCTTGAGGGATCTTATCAATACGTAAAACTACTGGATAGAAGGGGGCAAAGAAGATGGTGCCAGGCCCTTCTCAGTGAGCACAAACTGAAATACAAGAAATCCCACTTAAACATAATAAAATCTTTTTTACGGTGAGGGTGGTCAAGCACTGGAACAGGTTTCCCAGAGAAGCTGGAGAGTGTCCATCTTTGCAGATATTTGAAATCCGACTGGACTGAGCAACCTGTTCTTGCTGACTCTGCTTTGAGCGGGGGGGTGTGGTGGGGTGGGGTGGGGTGTTGAACTAGATTTAAGCCTCTAGCTCCACTAGTTGAACTAGATCACTTCCAGAGTCCCTTCCAATCTCAACTGTTCTGTGATTCTGTGATCCTTGTCAAGCAGAAATATAAATGCATACCAAATACTGTTTTGGTTGGGGGTAGGAAAAAAAAATAGAAAAAAAGAAAAATGCAGCCCAGAGTTCAAAACCCTCTCATAATGTACTGAAAGAAAATTATGCTTTAGGTTTAATCCCAAATGTAGTTTAAGGCAAGTTTCTTCTAGTTTAGTTAGATATCTGTGTCTCTCAATTTGGAATCTAAGCATATTAGCAACAGAGATTGTTTTAAGATGCCTGTGTTTTTACATCTCTCCTGTGAAGAACACCCGCATTTCAAAGAACTCAACACTTCCAACAAGATAGGGAAGAGAAATAAAACGATATTTGCATTTAATCTGTGTTCGCTTCTATGGAGAAAAGAGATATTAACAAGAAACAATTACAAACAGGAAAATTAACAAGTAAATCCAACCCTAAAACAAACAAACAAAAAAATCCTCCAAGAACTATTGTTCCTGCAGTTGAATCAGACTGAAAAGTGAGAACTAAATTAAGATGTTATGCAGAGATTACAGGCTTCAAAAGATAACGTGTAACACAGTGCAATGAACAATGAAACCCATGACTTGCCTTGTACCAAGCTGTTAACAGTTAATGATACTCTTTTCTTTTCAAGGAAGAACAGATTAGAGCTACAAAGTCTTTTTAACTTTTTTCCCCCTTCTCTTTGGTATTCAGAAAGCAGTTTGCCTTCTGACACAAAATTTTAAGCCTTAAAAATCTAATATCCAGATATGTCTGTTGTGTATTTGCATATTTTCTTACTAATAAACTGTTTCGCAAAATATCTAATGGGTGAAAATTATCAGAGTCTAACAGAAGATTATGTCCATCTATACCTGACCACCTTTGATTACTTTATCTGTACAGTCTGGAAATGTGTTTCTACATGAAGTACTTTTTACTACATGAATCCCCAAGGATTCACATATACCTTGAAAGTGGAGTAACACTCATCTGAAAGAAAGAAAAGGACGTATTTGAGTTCAGTGTCATAGCCCTATAATTCAGGATAAAACTCAGCAAAAGGCATTGTTTTGTCTCACTGGCTTCTCAGTTACAGAAATCAGAAGTGGAAGAGAACTGGTCTTTAAATTCAGCCCATCAACAGACACTGGACTAATTCACAGTACAGCATCCCAAAAAAAGAATTTCTCCTTCAAGCCCTTTTAAGACCACTTACAAAGGTAGACATACAAGACTGAATTGTAGCAGAGAACTTCTTTGCAGCATGTTTCTAAAACACCCTTTGGATCTGGTGGAGAAACTTCATTCCAGTAACCTGCAAAAGACTTAAATCCCACTGGTTTTGCTCTATTTAACTAAAATGTGTGTTTTTTTACCTAAAACACATCAGAGAAAAAAATGTTAAAAGTCACTGAAACCCTTTAAGCTTTTTCCAAAGGGCAAGAAACTTTTTTCCTTAGAAAAATTGGCTATTAGTAGAAACAACTCAGGCCTATGGAGTATCAGAGCTGCCTAAGCTAACTGAATGCAAATTGATCTTGCAGTAAAATACAACTTTTGTGTCTTCTGTTTCTTCAGAAGCAACCTGTCTATTGGTTTCATTTCCTCCTCGTGTTCGCGTAAAACAAATCCAGACAGCAAACAACAATTAAAAAAAAAACAAGATTCAAAACTAAGGGAGTATATCATGCCTTTGGAATCCTAAGATCAAGTAATACCTACTCGCTCAGCATGTCATCAGTAGGCGACAGGCATCTGGCATCAAACACTTAGTTAACTTCAGAAGCAATAAGAAAAAAAAAAATCACAAACCTCCTAATGTATTTCCTAATTCAGGTTTCAAAGCAGTACTATAGCCCAAACAGCCTCAACAAAACAGGACTCACTGCTCTGAAAATCCCGCACCCGAAATTTGCAGCTTTTTCTAAATACGGAAAAATGAAATTGCAAATCTTTCAATTTATTGCTTACTTGAGCTGTGTGTGTAGCTGGAGTAATGGCCTTTAATAAACCGAGTTGGCAAGGATTTTAAATGTTTTGAAACAGGAACAATTCATCATTGCTATATAGGCTTTTTGTAAACAACCCCCTGTTGGGTTAGAAAGTTGGCCTCTAAAGAGAATAAATTGCTTGTTTTGTCCAAAACAGACTAGTAAAAATCTCAGAAACTATACATGCATATGTATAAATAAAAAAAATGTGCAACAATCCATAAAAGAGTTCATTTTTTCCCATCTGTAAACTCTCTCTAGCTAGCTTTTGACGATTAGTAAAAATACAGTATATATGATAGGGGGAAGTGACCAGAACTGCAGTCTGGCCATGATTTAAGAATTTCAGTTTGGGAAAACCTGCATTTTCACATGTGGTTCCCCTTCTACAGAAAGATACAGTCATGAGATGTTTGTCAGGCTTGCACGGATATATACTTTTCTAACATCCTCCATTCTTTTTGTACCATTAGACTTTTCCTGACCATACTATTTCCACGTCTAACCTTAGATGGGCAAATCTGGCCAGACTATTTGATCAAGCGGTTTCTAAAAGGGCTGGAATATAAGAAGTAGGAATACCTGGCATGACATCACTTGGTTTGTCAAAAGTGATTCATCTGAGATGAAAAGGGACAACGTGTTTTTAAAAAGCGTGTGGCTGTTAGTTTCAAAAATGCTTACCATTTCCAAGAAAAGGGTTACAGTAAGCGCTTTGAAAAACAGCAGGCACAGAGATAGGAAGTGTCATTTTTTTTTATGCAGAAGATTAAAGCATCCACTCAAAACTAGTCAAAACTGTTCAATAATGATTTCCAATGCATCCTTTTGTTTGTCATTTTAAAAAGGTTTCCTCTGATTTCTCTCCCTTAACCAGAGGGTCTGCAGAAGCAAGAGAAACTTAATGAGCTGCTCTAACTGTGGAAGAAGAAATAGTTAAAGTGATCTGAATCAGTTGTTCTTCTTTAGAAGTGTATCACAGCTTCCATGATGTTCTGACAAGATCTTTTTGTGCATTCAGTCTTAAATATTTTCACAGAAGTGAGCATTCAGTCATGAAAAATAATGTAACATCTGTTGCAGTTTTCTGTTTAAAGCGTAGCTTACAAAGTAAAAAGGGAAAATCTCCCCACTTTTTAAAAAAATTAAATTAAAATGTACAGGACCAAACACAGGCACTTTCCAAAGAACAAAAATGAAACCAAACCATGAATTATTCAATAGTAATAGATGACAGCTCCGGTTTCGGAGCGTCACCTGCGGCTGCCTCAGCAGTGGCGTTAGTCTTTGGCTGCTCTGGCACATCTTCTTCCTTCTCTGCCAACCCACCCAGAGACCCCAAGGGGAAAGTGCTTTCACAATTCTGAGTTGACGACACCTGTGAAATGACAGGCATTTGGACAGAAGAGTTGCTTTCAAAGCCATGCTCCCCTAGCTCATACTGCCCGAGGGTCTCTTCTTGTTCCTGGTTTAAGTAGTCCGGTACTAGGAAGTCACTAGAAGAGGGGCAAAGGACAGAAGAGAAATGTCATTTCTCACACAAACATCAGTGATATCAGTTTCTCTGCATCACTTACATCACACAAGCTACATACTGCATTGCACAGAGAACAAGGATATTCACTTCACATTGCTCTAAGATCATCACAGCGGCATACTTCACTGAGCACTATAACCTGGTTCTCATTTAAACACATGGAGAAGTTATTCAAAAGTATCTCTTTCCATCGTTGTGCATCTGTATTTCCTACACAGCAACTTCTTATTATATAGATTGTATCACCTTGATGAGAATGAAAGTTAATGTCTGGAACATCGTATGGCACTGAAAACCTCACTGCAAAGAGGGAGCACTCAACCTCTAAAACCAGAAACAAAAATGAGTTCAGCACTGGTGAAGACGTGGGCCTTTTCCACAACTGAGAGAAGATCCACGCAAGAAGCAGCAGCAGCACTCCTCTCGGAGTGGACAGGCTGTAAACAGAAGCATGAGGTGAGGAAGCAAGGGTTCTGCTGAAAGCACGAGGAGGCTGCCAGCAACAGCAGGGTTTTGTGATGTTGACACATATCACACTACTGTGAAAAGAACGGAATTGCATTTCCTTCCTGTTTCAGCCCTTTCTGGACAACAGTTCTGCAGCTCACTCTTACCAAGTAGGGGGTGAGTGTATCTAAAGAAAATCTACCAAACTCTCCAGTAGTATTTTCAGAGCATGAGCACGTTACAAAAAAAATAAAATTTCTTAGCAAACTTTCAGCACCAAACATGTAAGTTTTTACTTGAGGCAAGTATAATATATATATTACACACATGCACATTTGTATACTTTGGTTCCTCCTTGTAATAATCCATTTAAAAGCAGTCCTTTGCTTAAATGACAGCAGCATTCACTGCTTCAAGTCCAAATTTGCAATCAACTACGCTCAATCTAGTGCTTGTAAATTCAAACTAAAGGAAGGCCTATAGACAACTAAAATCATATACTTTAATCTGACTTTAATTTGACGATGACAATAAATTGCTTACCACAATCACGGCATCATCCCTTAAGAGTTTTCACTCTAGTTTTGGCACAAGCTCTAAGAATAAGAACTGCATAAACCCACTTATACTTTTAAACAATATTCTGTTGGGAAAACAGTGACTGGCTTTCCTGGTTTGTTTTGCAAATTTTTCATCCTACATCACTTCTGAGATAACCAAATAGAACAAATTGCTGAAATGTTTTGTAGGGGGAAAAGCATAATGTCTAGAAATCACGAGAGATGGTATTGTAGATGCCATAATATTTACAATACATTTCTTTTGCATTGCTGAAGACAGATGACTTAAGACACACCAAGCTGCACCCTCTCTGTAGATTTAAGAGCTGTGAGATCTATCTCCCTCCAATTTTCTTCATCCACTTTCGTGTTTTTCCATCTCAAATTCCAACAGTTACAAACATTTCTTTCAATATGAGAAAACAGAGCTAGTCTGATGCCTCAGAACCCTTTCAACAATCTTTAGTGAAGTGCATTTGAGAGATATGCCAAGTCTTTTGTGCCCTGATAAACAAGAACTGTCCAACTGGCCCTCACTATTTCAAACCCTACTAGTCTAATCATTTAGTAATATGTTACCTAGAAAATGAAAAAAGAGAAGGTATGGAGGCATGCAATCTTTCCACAATATTAAGCAAGTACTTAAAATGAAGTAATAAGTCTATTCCCTATGTAAGTGAACAGGCTACGTACGAGATTTTGAATAGCAAATCATTTACAGAACCCCACAGATACTACAGTATAGAACACTATGGCTTAACACCATCAGCCTGTCCATAGATACTACTGAAAGGAGAAATTAAGTAGCCCAGAAGCAGCTTCTGCGTATCACTCAATTCTTCAGTGCCCTCCTATATAGCTTATATGCTGTGAGACAGATCAGATATAACAGACAGTGGCACAAGAAAGAATTTGACTGGAATTAGCTGGCAACCTGATGAGAGGCACAGCAGGCTGCCCTGAAAGCAGGAAAAGATGATTTAGGAAAAAAAAAAAAAAGCAAAAAAAAAAAAAAGCAAGTTTCCCTGTTAGGTTTTTGCTGTGCACCTCACCTGCTCTGGAAGTAGTTTGCTAGCTCTGATGCTTCATGGTTCAAGCTCCTCAGGTGAACGATTAAATTTCCAGAGTTGGTGAACATGGCGCCACATGTTTTGCACTCGTAAATCCGAGGCTTGCGGATAATATGCCGGGAAACCCGCATGTGGTGTTTATATTCCCCGAAGGAAGTGAAAGTGGCACTACATATCTGGCACCGGAAACAGCGTTTACCTTCGTGCTTCAGGCGATGCATCTTTAGCGAGTAAGCTCGGGTGAACTTTTTCCCACAACGGTCACACTGAAATGGTTTAATGCCTGCGGGAGAGAGAGCAAAAAAACATTCCCCTTTTGTAATGAGAGGTCACTGGAAAAATCCTTCCAGATTTCTAACAGCAAAAGGACAGCAGCTGTGGCCAGTCACAGAGCAGTGCTGGTTTAGGATGAAATTCTCTGGTTAACTTTAAAATGGCAGAAACAATTAGAACAGAGCTATGCTTTCTCAGAACCAACTGCGAACAGATTTCATAACAATGTGACCTGTCCGTAACGCTTACACGTCTTCTTCCTCACAGTTTAAAATGAACATAAGCCTCTATGGATTAGACAATGGCTAAGATCCTGAGCCACAGCCAAAAAGTATCCGATGCAGCAGTCATCTCAAACCATCTCTGAACTCCTTTGATCTCAGGAGATTCTTGTGCCAGACTGGTTCCCAACAATGCAATTATCAGACTACCCTTAATTGCAATGTCTTTTTCTGGCTGCCTTTGGCCTCAGAGAATTGCTCTGGCAGGGGGACTGTGTGCACAAGGATGCCCCTGTAATGCAGCAGGAACAGTGATAAAAAGGTGAAGTGGCAGCCTTTATATTGCGTGGGAACCTTTCTACACCAGAATCTTCAGGAACTCTGCATGACAGACAGCTCTCCAAGACCTTTTAGGTTCATGCCTCTCATTTTTCTCTCATATTAATTTAGAAATTCTGTCACTAATTCATTTTTTCATTTATCACAGTCATTAATAAAACCTGAGCTCTGCAAGACATTGCAGTGGCACAGAAGTACATAATCACACCCAAACAGAACCATGATAACATAAAAGACAGAATCACCAAAAAGTTAAGATTTAATAAAAAGTCTGAACCCCACAAAGTATGGAAATCCAAACACGAGGTCAAGAATCTGGAATATGGAGCTCTATTCATAATAGGGCTGTCAAGGAATAAAAAAGGTTTTTTCAAAAGGCTGAATGTGCATCAGTCCAGGCTATTAATTCCACCAGTCTTTCACTCTGCTTTCCTTATGTTCAAAGCGGGAGCTGAACTTTTAATTGGGGCTTTTATACAGAGAAAGCTGTAGTTAAGGTTACACTGAAACTCCTTGTTAAGCATGTGAAAACAAGTTAATATACTAGAATATTGTCTTGTGGAGCTAAAACTTTTCATGCTTTCGTACTGTCCAAGAGCATCTATTTCCTCTGATACTCTAAGGAAAAACTCTTCAGCCATTTTGGTTATGTGAAAACACTTTCAACATTTACAAGTTTTGAGTGTTTCTTTTGCATGCTAATTACTTTAAACCAGCTATTCAAATCTCTCCCGACTTTGCCCAGGGGTTGCCAGTTGACAGATTGGCCGGAGATGCTTTGCTGAAGCCTCACTGTCTGCCATCAGTTAAGACTTTAGCAACTGGCTTGGGATAATTTCACACCTGATGTGCCCATAAAGTTTGCTTTTTAAAGTATTAAACATTATTACTGCTGGCCTAAATACAGCGTGGTCATTTTGTTTGAAATTATTTGGCAAATAATTGCTGACAGTGAAAAAGTTACACATGATAACTGTGGTTGGTCTGCCCAAAAATGGTACAGCATCTGTGTGCAGGCAAGAGTCAACCTCAAAACAGGAGATGCTAAAGGATGAGGCTTCGTGCTCAAGTGCAATAACCCTCCAATATTCCCTTCATTCACTAAAATGCCAATGCTATCGCCAGGTAAGGCTGATGAGTTTTGAAACTGATAGCAAAGACATTAGGAGTTCATACTCAGGTTAGAAATCAAAATGAATGCAACAGTTTGGGGACTGAGACTCAGAGGAGGCATTAACACAAACCTTTTGCTACCTGTACTATCTGTAGAAACTAAACTGATTATCAAACCAACTCAGTTGTCCTGCAATCCCTCCACAAATTCTGAGATCCAAAGGCATATAACATTCTTCAACGCAAGGACATTAGATAGATAATATTTTCTCATGGCTGCAAGTCTCCTCTAAAACACAGCAAACAATTACAACATGTAAGAGGAAGAATTTCAATCTACATCTCAGTACAATAAAAAAGCCAAGTATATTTTATTTCATCTCAAATCTTTATCATGAAAATGACTTATTCTGATGAGTTTCAGGCAATCAGATTTTTTTCAGTCCACACAAACACTAATCATCCATGAGCAGAGCTATCAGTCAGATTTGATGTATCAAAACAAGCGTTCAGGGAGACGTACCTCTGCCCAGCCTTTCTGAAATAATTTCTCAAGCACTTGGCAGGTGATTAAAAAAAGAATCGCATTATTACATTTGCTGCACAGTGAGCAAACCTCTGTGAGTCCATAAATTAGTAACTCTTGGAAACGGTAACGCTTCTTACCTGAGTGGATGAGCATGTGTTGTTTTAAGTTCTGAATGCGAGTGAACCGGACCCCACAGGTTGGACACTGAAAAGGTCTGTCTGGACCATTTGGGCTGGGTCTCTCTGTGCTGCTGGTAGAAGGAGCAATGTAGAGTTGGTAGGGATACTGAACGTTCTCCAAACTACAAAGAAAAAATTCACTGATTTACAAGCAAGCTAAGGAAAAAAGCAAGAAACCTTGCCCATGGAAATCTGAACCTTGAACACATGGTTCACAGGTATGCGAAGACCACTGTTGTTTCACATTTCTCCTGAAATCTGTATTTACGCGGGAAATCTCTGCCTCTACAGCAACAGGTCTGACCTGCACCTGAAGTCTTACAGTCACTGACTTTGCACATCTGAACAAAACCAGAGAATAACCTCTGACTTCTGTTCCTTTGGGCAACAGGCCCAAGCACCAGCTGCAAACTGAACTTTATTTTCCAGGCATGGGCATTTTCTCAAGCGTATCGACGATTTACAATGAGCAAACAGCCCCTGGGGAAGAATTTAAAGAACTGAGCAAACTGGAAAGCAAAGGAGTATTTTGCAGTTCCAGTGATATTTACAAATGAAATTCAAGCTGATTCATTTTCATTTCAATCCAAGTTCAATGAACAAACATTAGTATCTATAATTACATATTTCTAAGTTTAAAATATTGATGTAATTAGTCAAGACTTGCTCCTTGTCTGATTCAATTGGCTCTGAGAATAGTTCAAGCGCTGTATTTAAAAAAACAGCACACAGACTATAATAAAGGAACAATTTAACTTTCAAAGTAATTTATTTAAAACTGACTAATTGCTCCTACATAGCCTCTAGCTGTAAACTGTTTAGGGGAACTACAGGGTTATAATCCAAGTCCTCTGGCAAGAAACCTGCTTCGCTAAAGGGCACAGAGAAATAAAAACAAAACTGCTGGTACAAACATAATAACAACTGGAGTTTGTATTTACCTGGGGTTTCCCTTTCCTGAGCATTAAGGTCTATATTTTTTGTTGAAATAAGACATTTCAGCTTACTAACAGCCTGATGGCAGATCAGACATCACTGGCAGCAGGGAACTGCTCTGACCCTGAATACTCCACGGTCAGAACCATGCAATTTTAGTTCTATTAAACTAATGTCTGAAATGTATTGAGAAAAAGGTACAACAATGTCTCCTGTTGCACACAGCCAGAAAGTCTTCCTGACTGAACAAATCCTTTCGCTGGGCTGCTACAAGCCCAGATTGCTGGTTTCAAGGTTAGCCTGAATTTGTGAACTTCTAACATTCACAGGGATGAAACGTGGGCTTTGCACAAATACATTTTCCTATGCACATCATACAAAAACCCACACAGCACATCAGCACAGGAGGTCAAGAACTAGGACCGTCCTTTTAAAATATATCCCTTGACTGTCTTTTTCTACTCTGGAAATGTCTGTCAATGCAACTGTGAGAACTGGATATCTGAACTCGGAGTACAATGATGGGTCTTGCTGGCAAAAGTTCCAGTTATAAAATTTATCTGGAGAGAGAGAGCAGCAGGTATCTCTCGACACACACACGATAAAAGTGTTTCCTGCGGGAGTTTAGTATCAATAAGTCTATAAAACCCATACTGATTTCTGGTCTCACATGGAACTGGAATAATATTTGCTCTAAGGAAGAAATTTTATTGTCCTTCACTTCTTTTTATGCACAGTAGGGTCCTAGAGAGCTGTGGAAAAGATAGATGCTGACAGACTAGTTGATCTTTGCTAAAGGGAGTATTTGCAAGAGGGAAGTTACCAGCTCACATCCTGGGCCTGGCAGAATGTAGTTCACTGCCACTTAGGGGTCTAAAAAAGCCAACTGACGGCTCACCAGATGCACTTGCAGTAAATGAAGGTATTTTTAAACATAGGTTCTGATTTGTCTAACCAAATTTCTGACAAACTAGCACTCCTGTTCCTCTCTGCGAGCAGATCACTAGACAAAGAACAGATTTTAATCTGCTCAGATGTGGAGACACTAGTTTTGTCTCTGGAGTTGGTATGATCATGTGTTTACCAATTGAAAACTCATATCAACACAGACTAACAGACAGGTCTGTTGTCCAAAAAAATTATAAAAATTGAAAAAAAGAAAAATATTGCAGGAAAAGCATTAGGCATAGAAGTCCAGCTGCCATAATAGCTGAATTATATCAAACAGCCAAAAAAATAATCAAAAAGCCAAAGTGATTGGGGCCCAGGATGGAGAACTTGCCTCTCATATGGTATGTGATAAACATCGTGCACTCTGGCTAAGGGGCAAATCCCTGCAGAAAAGGTTTCCCTGTGCTCAGCTAACTGGAGAATTCACAATTAAAATTTTCACAGCCATGTGCCAACAGAAGTGACAGCTGCAACGCAGGGGTGATAAAGGGGTGACTGGCTGGGTAGCCAGAACTCCTGCTCTTAGATGTACATACAGTTATACACATGGTGTGCTCAAATAAGAATTACATGTTCAGTTTTTGTGACAACATTTAACTTGCTTTATGAAGAACTTCATCTTCTGGTAACATGTCTCTTAGGTCCTTCCTTCCTCATTCCTGAGTTAGGGAATTGCCAAGAGGCAAAAGTGCCTTGTGCTCCCTGAGCTTTCTAGAGACACTCTAACTAGGGCAGAAATTAGAAGGCACAGCTCTTCTTTTGTTTTTAGCTTTCTGAGGCTACCTCATCCTCAAAGCCTGTACTGGTGCCAGCTGCTCTGCAATTGAAACAGAAAGGAGAAGAGCTGTGGGGACAATCTCCCTAGAAGAAATTTAAAATAAAGTTTGTTTTTTTCCTACATAAAAGCTTCATGACAAGAAAGGCTGGTTAAAACAGATAAAATAGGAATCACGAGGCTCTCCAGCTACTAGTGACTGGCATGTCTTTCTCCATCCTCACACTGTAAGCAAGCTGAAATACCTATTGGTGACATAACTGTGGGCCTCAGCACAATGAAGAAATTACATTTGAAACACAACCATATTTTCTCTCCCCTGCTTCTTTCTCTCCACATATACTCAATTTTTCATGACTTGCAATTTGTGATAAATGTGGCATTTAACAGTTGAGATTTGTCTAACATGCCAAAGAATTTCTCTAACAGCTAGATAAAGAGATAGGTTTAAAATGTTTTCACTGTAATGCTTGAACATTCTACTTGCAATTTTTTCTTCTCTTCACCAAGAGATAATATACATATTTAACTACGTAGAACTAAACTCTGACAAATGTGAATGCCAAAATGCTCAGTGAGCCTAGAAATGTTCTCTATTTGTAAATAACAATTATTTTAGAAAAGTGGAGGTTCTCATTATACTGGATCAGAGAGATCTTTTATAATTGAGCTTTTGCGACTCCTTTTTAAATGCAGCCATGAACTGATACAGAGACAAACTGTTCAACCAGCCAAGGCTGAATTACAGATCTGTGTTAGAAAAGTATATTACAATCCAAATGCAAAATATCAAAGAAAGAATGTATCAGAGTTCACTGTGAAACAGTAGTTTTAATACTTAACAGATTCCTGTGTGTCTATTAAGCTGACAAGTGCAGGTGACCTTCTGTTTATGAAATGCTGATTATGGAGGAGGACCAATTAATGATGTTAATTATTTAACACAGAAACTCAAGAGATAAGACATCTTAAATTTTGAAATATTTATGATTGTTTCCACAGTGGTAAGGATGTAATATTGAAAGATCTTCAGATGGGCTAGCCTTTTGTTTTGTTTTATTAATATTAATATAATATATACTCACTAGAAAATATTTTTTCAATATAAATTTGCACTGTCACAACTGATTTTGACATTTTGAGAATCTCTGCTAATAAAGCAATGTACAACCTGGACTTAAACTAAACGTGAATTAAAAAAAAAAACAACAAACCAAACAAAAAGAGAGGGGAAATTTTCTCCATTGTTATGATTTATTGCTCACGTTTTCATTTGATTCAGATACATGTTTTATTTTATTCAGAATTCTTATGCACCCAAAACCATGTGCCCAAATTGCTGCCCAGTGCTGATGTGCCCATCCCGTGCTTGAAATGGGAATTTAGAAGTCCAGTGCTCGAAGGGGTGTCACAGTGTATCAGAATGCACCGTCTCATCCTGACAGGCATATACACGCACACATGTGAAAGGAAAATTCTTAGGACCCGAAAGCACCATTTTACACATTTATCTGATTCACGAAATAAGTACAGTCTTGGCACTTTCATTTGGATTTATAAAACAAATCACTTGGTAGAAAATTTAGGTTCTGGAGTCTAAAATTCTCATAAACTCCCTTAACCGTTTTATAAACAATGTGCAAATTCAATTTAATTTTGCTGACGCTTTTGTTACTCTGAGACTAATTATTTTCAAACCTGGGCATAAACTAAGGCAAATAATCTTTCCTTCTCTGCACAAAGACATCTTTTAGTGGGAATTTTCAGTGTTTGAAGGATTTTATATATTTTGAATCTTCTATGCAGTCTGTGCTGAAACTCTGCAATTTTAAAGGAAATCTCTGAAATAATCCACTGCTGAAAATATGTATGCCACTTGACTTTAGAATGATAGGTTTAAAAACCTGGATTACTTCTAATGCAACATGTGCTCCTACTATCAATTCAAACACTAAGTGGTATTATTTTTATACTGAGGTTTGTTAGCAGACAGATAAAATCCTCTGTGTCACATAAAAAAATCTTATCTAGGCAGTTACTTTCCCTTCCGATTTAATCCTACAATGGGACAGGTTTTAGATGGAAATGGCAGGAAAGATTTTTCTGAGCTATGAAAATGCAGCTCCCGATAGTTATCTCTATAGGGAGTTTCACTTGACACAGTTTCTGGAACAACTCCCAAAGGTTCACACTTCTTCCTCAGACCCACTTGTCTAACAAAGCACTATGCAAAAGCTACCTTGTCAATACTTTAAAAATGTTGCTTAGAAAGGGAATAGCTAGCTATACGCCATACTTGACACATACCACAAAAGCAAAGAAATGAAAGTCAAACCAGCAGCGTGTACCCTTGTATGCCACTGGCAGGTACCTCACTTTGGCGTAACAGAACTACAATACGTCTTTGACCAAACAGACCCATTTTAGTTTGGCCTTCTCTGCCAGCCTTCCCTGTTAAGGGACTCCCTTCATAACTCACTCAGCACAGCAGAAACAGCTAAATATTTACTCTAAGTGTCACAGAGCACCTCAGTAAGAAGCTACATGCAGAAAGTCTGGGAGAAAAGATTTAAGGCTGTTCTGCCTGTTTTGTGGTTTATGACAATAGCAATGTCTGGTGAAGCCAAGACGAGGTACTTGCTTTCATTCTGTTGCTTTTGTGGCTTTACATCAGCTTTAGCATGCATGCAACTACCACACCTGTTTCACAGTAAAGATTTTTTAAAAATTATTGATTAATAAAGAGCAATGATGAAGAAACAGCAAAAACATGACTATCTTTCTTCACTAGCGTTGCCTGGAAATAGACAGGAAATAAAAAGCAGCAAGTAAGCAAATTCTGACTTTTATCACCTACATTTTCTAAAGCATCTGAACCTTCAGGCACTGATCATACTTTGATTGACACAGAGAAGTAGATGTAAAAACAATTAAACAGTCTGTGATGAAGGCTGGGTAGGTTAATTACAGCACAGCACTTGCTGCAGAACAGTTTGCACACTACATTGGTACATACCGATCATCATCATCTGCGTGAGCGTTAGTGCCAGAGGTGCTTTGGAGTGTGGGTAATCCCTCCGTAACCCCCTCATCTATTGAGCCTAGGCAAAGAAAAAAGGGCAATTTAATGCAAAGAAGTGTTCAAAAAGGGTTGGGGGGGACGGGTAAATACACATAAAGGTTGCTTTCCCAGATCTCCGAGAGACACTGCTTCATGGGTGATAAGGTACTAAAATTGTCCTGGGAAAATAATTTAGAAAACCCATAAGCAATGTGTTCCAAAGCAACTTCTTCTCTGCATCTAGTAAATGGACAACTCAATAAAGTGCAAATATCTGGCACACCTAGAAAATGGAAAAACATCTATGTTAAATAGAGCCAGAGTTTTCAAAACACATCCAGTGCTAATACTGTAAAGCAGAAATGTTACCTTCACCTGAAGGGACTATTTAATCAATTTTCAAGACTTCTTGAGCTATAAAGAGTTCAATCATGCCACACTACATTGCTTTTGTGTTCCAAACATTCCATATATATATATTTGTTGATAATGCCTTCATTTATTGGTAAGATGCTGAGACAGAAGGAGCCCTCTGAGAGTCAGAAATGCAACACAAAAGAGACCAAACATCTGTTTGTAAGAGAAACGTATACACAAAACCATTCCAGAGCTTCCTTCAGTGCACCGACATTCAAGCAAACATCACTCAGGTGAGTTTTAGAAACAGAACCTAAGGCAAATGCAGCACTATAACAAAACTACAACTTCATTCACTTGATGTGGCTGTTGCTCAGACGGGCCTCCCTCATCATCATTTGGCTTTTGGCATTCAATCCTTGATTTAGTGTATTAAGCAAGGTTAGTTTGGCCTGATGTCACTGTAACAGGAAGGGAAGTTGGCAGTACAGGACTAAAACAATTCTAAGAACTGGTAGCCACCTCCCACCAACCATACCCCTTGATTAAAAAAAAAAAAAATCCTCTGGTTTGATTATGTGTGACCATGTTTTGTTCCCTCTTTATGACGAGTGCGGAGAGCAGACCGGATCACCTCACGTTCCTCCTTTTCCTCTGATGATGGCGCTGGGTGCAACGGAAGATGATAAAAACAAATGACTGAACTCCACCAAATTTCCTAAGGATCACAACTGTTGTTGTTCCTCTCCACAACAGAGGCTCCCAAATCATGACGTGTGCATGGGAATCACTTGGAAGTGGTAATCCCATCTCGCCGCCTCCTCCCTCTGTTGAGACTGAATACCAAGCACCGCTTGAACTTTTCTGAATGGCCAAGTAGTCTTTGGGTCTCTACCACTGATTCCGTGTCAGATTAAAACAGATGGGGGAAGATTTCTCTGTCTCCACCTACATCTTGAGAACAGGCGAGGCTTAGGAGAGTGCTAGGAGCCGCTCTTGCTGCTATGGTAAAAATAATTCTGCTTTCGAAGAGAGTGTTATGTGAGCAATGTGAATTTGGGAACCCTGCTCTAAAGCTCACTAAGAAAATCAAGTATCACTAGGTCTACAATGACAAGTGTCAGACAAAATGGAAAACCAAAGAGAAGGAACAAAGACATGGAAAATGAAGTAGAAAATGTGCATATTTTGTCAAAAAGAATGGGAGTACCGTCTCAAAAAAAGGCTGTCCCTATAAAGGACAGTGTGTTCTACAAAACCTTACTGAAGTGAATGATTATTGTCTTAACATGACTCCTTGTTATGGGGCCAGTGATGTGAGGAAACTTGTATCTCTAGCAGGTTCAAAAATATTTAATTTTTTTTTATGAGCTGACAATCTATGTTCAGGAAATTCAGCAACTATGCAATCTATGAAGTTACAAAAGTTAATCCCGTTTTGACTTACCCTGCTTTCTCATGAAATATTTAACTGAACGTCAACTGAAAAATAAGCCCAATTGCTCTTAGGTTTAATTTTATGCCTTCACCTCTCAAATGGGAACAGTGTTAATGAGTTATGAAAATATCTTCTCAGACATAGCTATTGTTGTAACCATAATGACTTATTTATCAAGGCCCTGCTTCATGTCTCCTTCCGTATTATAAAGTACTTCCAAATATAATAAATTGCAAATGAACAAGTCTTGAAATTGCCCAAAGAGTGAATAAGAGCTTTTTGCAGTATCAGAAAGAGAGGCAGGAATGCTTTTATAAATGCACTATAAAACACTGAGATAAATATATGCAATTATATGAGGAAAATATGTTCAGGGAAGAGAAAGCTGTACTTTAACATATCTTGCTGCCTCCATTTACTGTTCTTATATTGCTGCATAAGGAAATACATCTTTGGGAGGTAAAAAGTACTTTCTAGCTACAAAACGTGCCTTATCATATACTAGGTACACGTGAACTGTGCTAAAAAGCAAGCACACTGTTTCTCTTTACAGCAAAATGTGAAGAAAAGCTATTCTGAGGATAGTTAACAATGTTATGCAAAAAACACTAAATATGAATTCAAACATATTCAAAGACAAAAAACAGATTTGCACTTCGAAGACTTTGGCCCAGCTCATTTTTCTTCTCTCTGTAGCTGTTTTAAGGAAGAACATGCTATACTAACATCAATAACAGACATTTAAAATTTAAACATTATAATCACTAAAGCCTAAGATCCTCTGCCCCGTGCTGTATAAATGGTCAGGTACATCACCTCAGTGGTACAAAACCTAGAACAGGAAATAGAAACTGGAAAACTTTCCCAAAAACATCATGTAGCTTCCAAACGGGTACCTTTGGAAGACAGTAGTGCAAATTTGCTTGTTAACGGAAATCACATCAGGAAACTGGCTAAAGCAAGAACAGAATTCAGTAAGGTGCCTGACTACTGGCTTATGTTCCAAAGTATCTATTGTTTAACTCAAAGGCTCTTAGAAAAGGAGATTTTATAGCATTCAGTGGCACCTCTCTCTCTCCAATTCAGTCCTAGTCTCACATTCTCACGTCACAATTCACTCAAGCCATTTTTGGGTATACGATTTTTCTGGCATTTCTCACTCCAAAAAATTCCACAGATCATATCTGTAATCCTGAGTTTACACCCAGTTTCTTAAGCTGCTTGGGTATATTTACAGTGGGTAAAACTCCCTCTTTCACTTGATACGCTATTTTTAGCTTTCCCTAATCATTATTTCTACTTGTTCTATTTTGTCTGTGATGGTACAATTACGTTAATGAAATAATTTGCATCTCCAATCACATGGCCCTGGCAAGGCCCTTCCAAAGTTCCTACTATAATGAGTTAAAAATTGAGTCAAACTAAACCTCTTCTTGAACAAGGACCACTTTTCCTGGAGACTGCCCAGCAAACTGTTTCATTTAGTTTTTAATCTATGCACTGTTTTAGCAAACTGCATTTAAAGATTTTTATGTAAACTGCTATTAAGTCTGCTTCTCAGAAAAGGTAAACAGCCTTGTCTCCAGTAAATAAAACATTTTAGCTTGGAAAAAGCATTACTGATCTACAACATTAACACATGAGCCATACAAACTGACGAACGAAACCAACATAAAGTCTTGAAGGATGGGAGAAATGGAAAATATCTTCATTTCTTTTTAGTGAGTATTACCTGAATAAGTTGAACAACACTGATTATATATTGCAATCCTGGAATGGTCAGACTGCTCTAACACTCACGTTCCTAAGAGAAGGCACAGTGTTACGCTGACCAAACAAAACAAACAATGCAGGCTACTAGACTGCCTTTATTTACTTTGTTGCATTTATTTATTTAATTAACCGAAGCAGCCTTTCATGTATACATTATTTGAATGAAGCAGAGCACTACATTTGCCATTCTTAAGGTCTTCAAACAAAACAGGCTTTATTAAAAATCTTTCAGTAAACAAACTCTTACCGAGCACAGGTCAAGCCACTTAACTGAAAGCAAAATAGCTGACTTCGGCAAAATGTTGGTAATTAAACTAGAAATATTGCAAAACCTCTATCTTCTGGCTTACTAAAAGCCATCCAATGCATTCTGTGCAAAGAGGAAAAAAGGGATTGCTACAGTAACCTTTCAGTATTAGGTATTAATAAACAACAGCCTGCTAAAAGAACCCAAAACTGGCTTCAAATTATCTTTCATGGAAAAAAGGTTTCTCTCAGCAATTGGCAGTATTTGAAGAAGCAACTTGAGAACCAAATCCCACAGAAATGGAAAGATTCTCAATATTATGACTGTGTGGTTTTGTTTTCGTCTGGGGCATTAAGATGACAGTGTTCCACCACTTATTTTGCAAATCTTCTTACAAAGGCTCTCTGTCATGATTATACAAGATTTTATGTCTGATGCAAAGTACCATTCTATCCCTCTGTGGCTACAGCCACGAGTCTTTCAGACTCAGTGTGGCAGCTCAGCTGAGATCATGCCTTTTGACACTAATGAAAACAGAATTATTTTCCCTAGTCAAGCAAGTAAAAGTAAAAAGGGGTTATCAATCTCTACTGAATAAGGAGGTCTACCTACACGCTTACCTTTCTCAGCTGCCTTCTGAAAAGTATTTAAAGAGCTCCAAGTCCTGTCCCCCATCGGGGTTTACATGTTACATTTGATAAATAAAAAAAAAAAAGGCAGTTTCTCAAAAGAAAAGCACGAAAAAACACGAAGCAGATTTCCTCCAATAAAATCACAAGTGCCACGTGCCTGTTTGTACATACATCTAACCCCAGAAATGGTCGTACCTATAGAGGAAGACTGTGGGCTGATCAGGAGATCTTCCTGCACTTGCTCACTGCCTGGGACCGTCTGCTGATCGCTCAGAGAGCTCTGGGATGCGCTAACGGGCTGTGATACTTCCTCGTGAACCTCCTCATCGCTTAACCTTTCCACTTTGACACGCACGTCTTCTTCAATCACCAGGGGAGAATTGGCTTTTGTGCTCTCACAAGTCACGTAATCTGCAATTCTTCTGTTGGACTCAGAGGGTCCAGGCATTTCCAAAGTCCTAGAGTTCTCCACCTGCTTCACCTTCTCAGACTGAAGTCTTCGATCAATTCCAAAAGGAAAAGTCCAAGGAAAAGCTAAGGATGAGTCCACAGGCTGATTTCTGGACTCCGGGTAAGAAGTTGAAGGATTCAGCACTTGGGGGGAACTGGTTTGGGTGTTACACTTAAGGGGGCTCTCGGGAGACATAACGATGTAGCTTTTGCGCTTCCTTCGCGACTCCCGGCAAACAGGAATGGTTCTTTCCACCACGCTGCACTCAGAAGAAACCGGAGAAAGGCTGCCGTCTCGAGAAGTAAAATTGCAGTTTGCGTTGTTCTCCTGTCCCGCATCCAGCACCTTCTCCTGCTGGCTGTTGGGCGTATTCCACAAAATGCTGGACTTCATGAATTCTGAGCACGTGCTAGCAACGCTGAACATCTGCATGTAGCTGGCTGCTGCCAACACATCAATAATGTTTTCTGTATTAATAGATAGTGTTGCTGTGTAAGCGTATTCCAGAAGAGGTATAAAACCAGTCACTGTCACATGGTGTAGGTCTAATACACTCTTGCTCTCGTCTTCTGCTTGGCCGACCAGTTTGGAACGGAAAAAGTCGCTGCAGGCTGCCAAAACCACCTTGTGCGCCCTGAAAATTTTGTCCTGGACGCGGATGGTGATATCACAAAAATGTCCATCGTTGCGGAGCATGTTCAGCTTTCCCAGCATCTCCTGACTGTGAGCAGGGGAATTATGTGTGAATGTTTTAACACCCATTTTTTCACCTTTCTGCTAGCGTTCTTTCCACATACGAGAGATCACAGGTATCCTAAAACAAAGAGGAAAACTGTCATTTTCATCTCTGAAAGCAAAAGTAAAGTGGTTTCATGATTATAAGACTCTGTATGAAGAAAATTCAGTCAGATTCTCTAGGGTCGTGCCTTTCCAGGATGAAGACTGTGCAGTGGACTAACTCTACAGAAATGCTATTACCTACTTGTAATTTTCAAAACCACAGATCAAATTATTTGCAATCTACCACCTTCCATATTTCTGCTACTGCCCACTCAAAACAAATTCCTAACACAGTTTAGAGAAAAACAAAGGTCCGCAATACTAAAAAGAAAGCAGTTTTGAAACTATCATCTGTGTAAGAAACCAGGATTTTTATTTTCTGGGCCCAGGAAACTACTGCTCACAGTTCTTAAACCTGACAGACTTTGCCAAATGTTTCTTTTGAGTGGAAAAGACGTGAGCTTGGGTCCACTTACAAGTGTGCAGGAGCAAGTAAATGTCCCAGAGAAGGTGTTTAATACAGAAAAGCTTTAGAGAAACTACGGCGTGAATTTTCAGAGGACAGAGTTCAAGCTAGTAAACATAAAATAACAGTGGCCAATAGCTCTGCTTTCCTGCTGCAGTGCAGGTACTGATTGCCTAAAGCTGCTTTTGATAAACAGGTTTGGACTAGGATGAGAAGTTATTGAAATTTCCTTCGAAAACACAACAGATTATAAACCTCAAAGGAAAGTTTAAGTTTAAATCAAATACACATAAATGGATTTTATATATGTGATAAATAATACAAGCAGGGTAACTTCTTCCTTCTGAAAAACATCGAACTGCCTTCTTGGGGACCAATTTTCTCCTCCATGTGGAGGCAAATGCATGTTTTTTGTGCAAGGTCCTGCAAGAATAAAAGGGGGTGTATGCCCCGCACTGTCTGCAAGTTTTAAGGCTGGTGCAGTATCTGAAAGCTAAATGTCTCTGAATTGAGGAGGATGAAGCTGATCCACGAGTCACTCCCTCTGCAATACACAGGGGAAAGACACTGTGCCAAGGCAGGTGCAATATGCCCAACCAGCCTCTGTCCCTGCAGTGGAACTTCTGTGGCCACCAAGGCTAGGTCTACTTGCAGAGAGCAGGGCATCTCCAAACAAGGAAAATCAGTGTCTGAATTTCCTCCAATTATTTCTGAATTATTTCACTGTGAAGGAAACATAAGCCAGCCCGCTCACCTTCTTAAGGCCCCCCCACAAGCCTCCATGAAAAGTCTTCTGTGTTCCACATGACTCACATGACATAGAAATATCATCTCTGTAAAGTTGGTGGTTAAACATCAACAACATAATTGGATCTGATTATTTCCTGGAGTCAGCCAGCTTCTTCACATCATCCTTCTCCCTTCCCTTACACGTATGCAAAAACATACCACGCTTGCAAACTGCTCATGTGGAGCTTCGCAGATACAAAGAGCACTGCAAGTTTGGAACAACTTACCACAAATCTCACAAGTCTTAGCACATATTTAAATGGCAGCTGTCAGAGCCTACCTTGCTCTACAGAGATTTACACTTGGCTTCTTCTTGCTCCTATGATTTCACTTTTGATACTGCAAACCCTTTCAGACAGAGGAAAAATATCTATTTGAGAGAACAGATTAACTAACACTTAACAACATACATAAAGCCCGAGTGAAACTGCAAGGGCCATTTGGACTTAAAATGAAATTTCACACTGCTGCAGAGGAAGAAGTTAAGCACAAGCAAAACACTCTCTTCAGTGAAAGAAAACATATCGACCTCAAGAGGCATCTGAAGACCCAGACTGTTTGTTCTCCAGCATGAACCAAATGAAAAGCATATTTAATTGATCTCAGACCAAAACACTACAGTAAAATTTTGTAACAGCATATTCTAAAATGGCCTTGGGATACCCTTCCTTCTGGATTCCCAGTCGCTGCAGCAGTTCCTTGGCACATCAGAAGTCCAGAAGTACTTCTGTTCAGCAACTGGCTACAAAAAGAATAATACATTGGCAAGGACTATCAACAGTATATCTAGTATTTAGAAATAGAACTGATACATAATTATAAACAAGGAGAAAAATCTAAGCAAGCAATACTCCCAGTTGTTATATGCCCGGCAGACTAAGCCATTTCCCTTCTTTGTTCATCCAAATGAGTAAGGCTCGTCTCTCTGGAGGGCTGTTCTGCTCACCTCCTTCAAACACTGCTTTGAACCATTCCCTGTCCTGCTTCCCCCCTCCTGCCCACCTCTCCCCTCTTTGGCTTCCTTTACCCTTCTCCTTTCATCTTCTGCTTCCTCGACCTTGATCTGGTTACAGAATTTAAAATAAAATAGCGGAAGTCAGTGATGTGCAGTAAATTGATTTAAATCTATTACAGGGGCAGCGTGCCTGCCATGAATGTGGGATATTGCTCTGTTAAGTCACTTCTGTAAAATAACCTTCCCCCTCATGGCACTGACACCACCATTCAAACAAGTGGCTCCTACACAGGCTTCAGTGTGGACAAAGGATGTAGGCATATGCAGGCTATTTTCAAAAAAATCAAAAGAGGTGAGCTGAGGGGGGCAGAACAGTATCAGTTCTTTACAGTTAATGAGGTAGTAAAGACGTCAAATATTTTTAGACGGTAATTTAAACAGTATGAAAATATTTTCCACATGAAAAGATGAGCATGCTAAAGCTCAGCCAGGTTATAAAATGGTTTGATTCTCTTTGTTAATCTTTCAGTGGCATAGGGCACTTTTATAGCTGCACTAAGTCACGGTGACGAAAGGGAGTAAAGGGCTGCAGCGTTACCACTTCACCTCAAGCCCAGCATCTCTGGATCACCACCATTTCGAAATGACATTTTGTCACGTCTTACGACCGATTATTAGATAGTCCATGACAGCAATTGTTAGACCATAAGGTATAGGGTGTTACATTCAGGAGTGATTAAAGAACCATAAACTAAAACTAAATATACACCATACCCTGGGAGTGTTTGGGGTGGGGAGATCAAGCCGCACACATAAGCTAAGTGATAAGTGGGTCAGAGCTGGAAAAGTTGTTCATCTTTGAGCCACAAACCATCAGTGATTCTCCTTAAGCAGGGACAGAGGTTGGTATCAAAGAAATGGACAGTGGCTTGCTTCTCCTTCCCAGCTGCTGGCAGCGTGGCTCCTCCTTCCCACAATCCACGCACGCCCTTATGCCCTGGCCCACACTACACTAGAGTGTTTCAAAGTTCAAGAGAAACATGGTGAAATTTAAAGACACTTTCAAAAGTTTTTAAAATATTCTCAGCAGGACACTTTGGCCTGCATCCAATGGGCTGTATTTAACTTGGCTGCAGACATCTGCAGTTTGAGGGAATGTTTTTTCCAGTGTGGATTCCTGCGCTGGAAACACGTGGGGATTCACCACCAAAGCGCGGATCCCCAGACAAGGTGAGAATTCAAACACAAGCACTTCAGGACTTCCAGAGCAAGGAGAATTTTCTCCACTATTAGCTAAAAGCAGTCTGAAAGTAAGTGCTACCATACCAAAGACTTTGTACAATTCATTTGAAAATTAGTTGTTTGGGTATTTTTTTTTTTAATCCTAAGAGCACTAAGGTAGACCTGACCTTTAAGTACTTCAAAGTAACTTAGTTCAAAGTAACAGAACTTCCTTCTGTTTCAAGGCTACTGAAAAACAAGGTTTAGCAGCAGTTACAAGTTCACATACACTGTTTTGGGACAATGATTAAACACATGTCAAGTTTTAGTGCTTAGAAACAGTAAACATGTGAAAGTGTTCACTATGTTGTGTAAATGTAAAAGAAACTGTAACAGAATTGAAAAAAATTGCTTCTGTGACCTGCCTACTTTCATGCACCCAAAAGTTATCTCCTTACTCATCCGTTGCCTAATGTTATGGCTCAAATAATTTTGAAACATGATACCTATAATAATATTGGGGATTTTTTTCTTTGGAAGAGTCAGTGAATCGAACTCATAGAGCTGTTTACATTCAGTTCTCACTTAGTTACATCGTTTTATAGCGGAAGTGGAAAATTTTTTAGCACTATAAAACTACCACCCCACATTCAACCTCTACCCTGACCCACAGCAACTTACAAAATATCACAAAACCACTAACTTTTCTGAATGCTAAAACCAACAGACTTCATATACAGAAATGCCACACTGGCTTTAGTGCCCAAAAAGCTCAGGGAATTCCCACCCTTGTGCTCACCCATCCCTCAGGTGCACTCATCCAGCTGTGAGGTCATGGTGTAAATCAGATCACTAGTTATCTTTTCTCCAAAATTTATTTTTAAGCCAGACCACTCCTTGGCACTGGTTACAGCACCATCCCGTACACAGCAGCAGCAACCCAGGCACAGACAAATCTTCTGTGGGAATAAAGGTGTGACCTGGCCACCTTATCTCTGCCAACTTCTCACAGGTACCAGCACCCCTTGCTCCCTCAAACTGCCTAAGTGGTTCATATAATTAAATTTATAATTGAATTAGAACAACTGCTCTTAGCATGTACGTAACTTCAAGTTTGCTATTTCTATTTCAGACTTGAAACACTTGTTTATCTAAACATGCATCTGTTTCCCCAACACCAGCTGGCCTAATAAAAGGTACTATCTCCCACTACAAATCTTGCCTTGATTCACTTGACAAAACTGTTGGCTGGAGCTGCCAACCCGTTCTCGTTTCAAACGAATCCACAGCACTTTCTAAACTTTGTTTCAAATCATGTTTTAAGCCAGGTCAGTAAACCTGGTTTGAACTCAGCCAAAGCCTGACAGTCTTTATGAAAAAGAGACAGCAAACACAAGGTTCCTGTTCTCAAAATTACGTCAATGTGCAGTATTCACTTTGGTGTACTGGAATCCGTGGAATGCAAACCTGTAACCTTTAGCTGCAGTGGGTGACTGGACCAGGGAAATGAACCATCCTGCTAAGCATGCAGTGTTTCAGAACTTCAATTTCCTCTAGGACAGCATACTTCAAACTGTAAGCACACAAAGGAGCTAGTGTTAGC